AGGGTTTTTTGTTTGTTTGTTTTTTGTTATTTTGGTCTTTAGATTCCACATATAAGTGAGTTCATATGGTATTTGTTTTTCTCTGTCTGATTTATTTCACTGAGCATAATACCCTCTAGGTCCACCCATGTTGTTGTAAATGGTAAGATTTCAATTTTTTTATGGCCGAGTAATATTCCATTGTCTACCTGAGTATGTACCACATCTTCTTTATCCAATTGTCTATTGATGAGCACTTGGGTTGCTTCTATATCTTGGCTATTGTAAATAGTGCTGCAGTGAACATAGGGGGTGCATATATCTTTTCGAATTAGTGTTTTGGATTTCTTTGTATAAATACCCAGAAGTGGAATTGCTGGGTCATAAGGTAGTTCTATTTTTATTTTTTTGGAGGAACCCCTATGCTGTTTTCCATAGTGGCTGCATCTATTTGCAATCCCATCAAATGTTGTTTATTGATTTATTGATGATAGTCATTCTGACAGGTGACACCTCATTTTAGTTTTAATATGCATTTCTCTGATGATTATTGATGTTGAGTATCTTTTCATATGTGTATTGACCATCTATATATCCTCTTTGGAGAGATGTCTACTCAGGTCTTCTGCCCATTTTTTAGTTGGATTGTTTGTTTTTTTCATGTTGAATTGTTAGATTAACTGATTTTGAGCCCTGCCGAAGATGCTATGTCTATGCATGGCACCATTTTTATTGACTCCAGCTCTTCAGTAGGTGGCAGTGTTCCCTTCTATTTTCAGTGGCTTTTGGCATTTCCTTCCTTTTGGCGTTTCCTTCTTTTCAAGAGAGTATGGTCGCTTCTTTTTTTCAGTGCACTTGTAATAGCTGCCTCCTTTACATCCTTGTTTGGAAGATAATATCCAAAGGATCTTGGGAAATGAGGAGGAGAAGCAAATTTGCAATGTGCAGCAATTGATGTTTTCATTTTTGATCTTCAAGGCCCTAATTCTCATGGTCCAATTTCACGACAGTTAAGGGCAGAGAATGAGCACCAGTAATTGTATTGTTTACTTGTTCCCATCTCTCCCTATTCCAATCCCTATTTATTGTCTATACGTAGGCAGTCTTCTTGTTCCCTTCGTTCACCGGTGCCCAAGGCTTGAAAATACCATTAAAAGCCATCTCTAGTCAAATTTTTCTCTAACAGTTTTAGATTTCTATAAAATCAAGTTTTCTTCCTATCTTTATTCACTGAAGGGATATCAGGAAATTTCCCAGGCTCCAATCTAGGATCCCTCACTGAGTAGCTATGTAATTTGCATATGTAAATCTTTTGGGCTTCAGTTTCTTCATTTGTAAAATGGGATTAGTGAACTAAAGGATCTTTGAGTTTTCTTGTATCATAAAGTAGTCCTCCACTCCCTTGAATGGTGGTGGTACTGTGGTACTATATGATTATTTCTGGAGGAAATTTTCTTTAAGGAGCAAAAGTCATTAAATACTTGTAGTACATAGAGTGAAGAGTAGATCTAGTGGAGAGAGTTGATTTAGGGAAAAAGAGTACTCAGGGTAAGACACAACCTGTCTACTGCACAGCACCTCTACTAGACAGCATTTAGGGCAGGTATTCTCTGTTTCTGTGGTGCAGCAGTCACCAAACAGACTTTTATTTAGCCTTAAATGCTGGAAATATCTTAGTGTGCTTATTTGTTTAAAAATATTAGAGTTGAGCTCTCACCCTGGTTTATTTGATATTCTTTTGATAATAGTCGTTTTAGTCTTAATTCTGTTGGATGAAATCACTTTTTTACCTTCAGAAAATAATAACTGATCATTGTAAAGAATCTTCAAACCATACAGAAAGCAATGAATTAAAAGAAACTCCTGTCCCTCTGCATCCCCCCTCCGCATCCTGTCCTCAGAGATAAGCAGCATTATCTTTACTCTTGTTCATTCTTCCAAATATTTTCCATGTATTTATGCAAACACATATACATATATAGGTATTATCACTTTTGCTTTATTTCACTATTTTAGTGGCCCCTTTTGGTGACATATTGATCTTAGAGTAGAATTATACATGTAAAATACATGAGTAAGAAAATGAAGAAATTACAGGATTAAGGAATACAGTAGATAATAAACAGAAAACATTCAGTTGTTAATCAAATCGAAAACTGATAGTGATGATTCTTAAGTGATAAAGAGTCTAGGCAGAATTGAACATGGAAAATTGTCTGCTCTAAGGTGTCATTTGTAGGGGACAGGGCTTGGGTCATTGTGGTAGATGACTACCAATAATTCCTGTGTCTCTCTACCTGCTTACTACCACGAGGTAGAGTCTGTTTCCCCTCGGTTGAATCTTGACAGGCTCTGTTACTTGCTTTGGTCAGTAGAATGAGGCAGGAATGACATTATTACAGTTCTGGGTTTAGACACGGCAACTTTAGTTTTTGCTGTCTTGGAAGGTAATCACTATGTAAAGAAGCCTGGCTACCTTGCTGAAGAGAAAGACCTGCTAGAACAGTGGGTCTCAACCTTCCTAATACTGCAACCCTTTAATACAGTTCCTCATGTTGTGGTGACCCCCAACCATAAAATTATTTTCGTTGCTACTCTATAACTGTAATTTTGCTACTGTTATG